AGTGATTGAACTACATGTTCTTAAACCTGACAGAAAGGGTTTCAAATAGTAGTTTTGTACCAAACGTCTGACTATTTCCCAAAGGGCAGAGGGACAGCCAGTAAGGTTACTTGAAACCCTTCAAAGTTCAGCTAACTACAAAGTTAGAAAAGCTATCTTCAGTTTCATTCTAACCTACAAATCTATTCAGGAGATAATTGTATTGTTCAGAAAGTGTTCACCTGAGTAAAGCATTATGGTATCCCTTGTGATCTTCTAAAACTAAACAAAGCAAAAACATGGTGACCAGAAGAATTAATTCACATTAATATTATTTCAAAGGATTGCCTTATCCAGTTCAAGAACTGTGCCACTTATCTCTTGTAATAATGGAAGAATTGCAGGACTACTGCGCTTGGATTCCCCAAACCACATGGTTGACAACACAACCAAGACAACCTAATTAATGCTTGAAAACTGTCTTTGTGGTGAAAAACATAAGCTATGAGCACATCTCAGAAACTCAGAAAGCTCAAACTGTCCAAGGATCTGCTGATACATTTCTACAGAGGAATTATTGAGCCTGTCATATGTACCTCTATTACTGTCTGATTTGGTACAAAAACTAAACAGACAGGTATAGAGATCAATGGATACTTAGGAATGCAGAAAAAACAACTATAACCAGCCTGCCTTTCACTGAGGACCTGTATACTGCACGAGCCAGAAAGAGGGCTGAGAAAATATCTACAGACTTCTCACATCCTGGACATAAACAGTTTTAACTCCTTCCCTCAGGACGCCGCTATAGGGCACTGCATGCCAAAACAAGTAGACACATTTTTTCCCCTTGTGCCATCACTCGGCTGAACTTCTAATTCCCACAGCACTGTCTTATGTCTAAGGATATTTACCCATGTAGTAGGACTGTATTACTATTATCCATATCTTTCCTATTACCTACTCCTATTCTCATCTTTCCTATTACCTACTCCTATCTTATGACAATCACTTTGTAGCTTGTATCTTATTATTTATGATAAGTGTATTTATGTATAAATAAATGTATCGTAAATGTAGTTATGATACATTTATTTATGTAACTTTTGATTTATCACTTTGTTGCTTTTATGTATAGCGAGAGCTTACGCACAAAAGACAAATTCCTTGTGTGCCAATCACTCTTGGCCAATAATAAATAATATTCTATATTCTCACCTGCAGCATAAACAGTTCAGGTACATTTAGATGTGGTAAAAGAATTTAATTAAATGACAAGGGGAAACCAGGTATCATGTCAGTATAATGATCTTTTTTCACCAGATCAACTATACTTTTTGTGCTAAAGAAAATACAAGTATTGGAGCTACATTCTTGTTGTTCATTTCAATTTGCTTTGTGCAATGAAGAATCTTTTTAAAAAATCATGAAATCTCTCTAGTATAGGAATCAGCCTTGAGTGCTCAGTGGCCTTCTCTCTCCCTGCACGTGATATCAGAAGATATTACTGTAGTGTGGTGTCTATATTAGAAATAAATGTGTCATTTTAAAAATAAAAATCATGATAATGATGGAGATGAATGGATGCATGTGTACATTCAGCTAAAAAGTAAGGTTTGCCAGAGTAACATATATCGTCTTTAAGCTAAAGGATAGAAACAAAGCATTCCTCTTCCTACCTGTTTCTTCATTATTTGCACTACAATATTCACAGCTCTAAAGGAGACAAATTAGTCTGCCAATTATTCATTATGAATTATTTTGATTAATGGAATTCTTAAATACAGCAAAACCATTTTAAAAATATCATTCACAATAATCAGAAATAAACTATTAATCACAGAATAAAAAATTCTGGCATATTACAGCACATGCCACTAAAAATGTCCTTGCAAATTAATTTCCAACGTGTAATGGAAAATATTGAAGTTGGTAGTTTTACTGCATTCTCAATTGAAATTTCATTCTTTGATAAAGCTATTATTTAACATAATGAGGACAGATTATTTTTTAAAAAAATCTTATAAAATTAATGACTGAATTTTCTTTTTGACTTCTCATTTCCCTATCTTTTCTGAAAAATATGAACATTTGCATGGGTTAGAGAATATATTCATTAGTACAATCAGCCTGGGTTTAAAAAAAAAAAATCTAAGAATGTCTAAGGTGTTGTTCTCAACTTTTCCCTTGCAATAATTTCTAAACACATTGTTCTCCCTTTTGTTTACTTTATAACTACCTTGTATACATTTGATTCATTTTGGTATATTTTCTTATAATATTTTGAGTTTAATTCTAATAGAAGAATAATTTAATTAAGCCTAAATGTTTTCCAAATTATTTTCAAGCACTGATTAGTATAGTGCTCTCATTCCAGCACCAAGCATATATTCTAGCTAATCTCTGTTGTAAATAACAAGTATTTTGTCATATTTTACCGCTATAGTGCCTCCCTTTCCATTACAAGATGCGGAAAAGCCAGTGATGACATCTCACTTGCTAACTAGGAAAATGTGATTTGCCTGGGCCATTGTTTATAAAGGTGTTGATATCAAGTAACTAACAACACATGAAGACATAAAAAGAAACAAACTAAAGTTATTCTCCAAGAAATCAGCAAAATATCTTTCAGCTAAACAAGGTGAAGGCCTATATATAAAAAGGAGCAATCGGCAACATGGAGAAAACACAAAAGGAGTAGGCCATTCATCTGAGGATAAGGAGGTTCACATTCAGGGACATCTGGAAGGGCCATGAACAGCACCAAAATGTTAGGTACAACCAGGCAATCAGGGTTCTGTATCTTTATGGGATTAATACATGTTGAAAGGGATTGTTCTGACCCAGCTCTCCGAACATGACAAACCCTCTGTAGTTAAAACAATGATTCCTTTATTAGGAGCGCCAGCAGCCCTGGCAAAAAGTTCCTGTCTCACAACAGGGTAGCACGTCTGTCCGGCAGGAAGATGAACAGTTGTATGCCACATCTATTCATCTCCGCCTCCGCCTTTTATCCCCAGAGCTAGAGTGGGACTTCGCTAGCAACGGTGGCTCTTCCACCCCAAGGATCGGCCCATAGATTTCCACTGATCTCCTCTTCTCTGCCTTCTGCGCATCCGTGCATCAGGCCCTGGACCCAGCTGCTCCTCTTCTTCTTCATCAGCTACCTCCAGACCTGGGGGCTATTGACTCTCCATCTGAGGTCTGACGGATGGTCCAGGCTCCGCCTCTCTCTCTCTCTCTTTCTCTCTCTGACAGCTCCATTTCCTCTTCCCCCCTCGGAGCTCTCAGGTTGCCTTGATGCTGACCTGACTCCTACGCCTCCTCCTCATCTGATTCAGCTGCTGGAGGGGCCGGCAGCCGACAGGCCACAACAGGGGTAGGGCTTTTACTGCCCAGTCACAGTGGCCATATTTGACATTGTTGGCACTCTTCTCTTCCCCCAAGGATGGTCCTATCTACATTTCATGCACAATCACAAAGAAAGCTCTCTGCAACATTCTCATCTGTCGAATCTCACCAATTTATGGCTCCTAAAAGGAGTTCCTATGGCTGAAGGTAAATGTTCATATGTAAATAGACCACCCTTTAGATATGCCAGCTTCAGCACTGGATTATTTTGGGAACAAACCATAAATCGGAAAAGGATGCAGAGAAGAAATAGAAATCCAGAATATGCTGTTAATGATTCCATTGGTAAATGTACTGCAATGTATAGATTGAAGCACAGATTACCTCCTATTATCTATATGATGTATGGATAGGCCCTTCGAAGTCAGCTCAAGACTATGGCAATTCCAACATGAACTATTACCATACTCAAATCAATAGTGCATATCGTTCAGTGGTTGAGAGGCAAAAAATGCTGTCACGGAAACGACGCTATACAAATAACAGTGCTTCCTGAACAGTTAATAAATGACTGGTGGAAGAACATGGACGAGTAACTGCAAGTGCTTGTGAAAGATGTTAACTCCACAAATGCATGGAAGAGTTAGTGAGAAAAAGGTAATCTGGCACCAACTGGCAATAAATATAAAACCCCAGACTAAGAAACAATGTTCAGGACAGTTTATAGCATTAGTGAAAATGAAGAAAATTTAAAGGACAGCCAGGTCATTCTCAAGAAAGGAAAATATTGTACATAGTCAGCAGAGGAAAACACACCACCACACAGAGTCCACGCAGATTGAAAGAAAAGGATCTTTCAAAGCTAAGAGCTATACAATACCATGATAGAAATACTCTTCAGAAAAACACAGTCGGCTTGTTGCCCCATTTTCAAACCTGATGTATACTAGGTATACAAGTAGTCCTCAACTTACTATCACAACACATCCCAACATTTGTGTGGCTAAGTGAGAAATTTGTTCAGTGAGTTTTGCTCTGTTTTATGGCTTTTCCTGCCACATTTGTTAAGTGAACCACTGCAGTTATTAAGTTAGTAACATGATTGTTAAGTGAATCTGGCTTCCTCACTGACTTTGCTTGTCAGAAAGTTGCAAAAGTTGACCACATGACCCCAGTGTTTTGGGGTCTGCAACCGTCATAAATGTGACTCAGTTGTCAAGCAACCAAATGTAAATCATGTGACCATGGGAATGTGCAATGGTCATTGGTGTGAAAAAATGGCCATAAATCACTTTTTTCAGTGTCTTTGTAATTTTGAACGGCCACTAAGCACGCTGTTGTAAGTCAAGGTCTACCTATACACTAAACTATCTAGTTGGAAACAATATAACTGTATGTGTTGTTCAGTGCGCAGTGTAAACATTCTCCATTTCAGCACAAGCATTTGACTGGTAATCCCAATACACTGATCACAATTTCTAGTCAAGAAGAACAAGGGTGTCCATACATGTTAAGTTTTTCTTAAAAATATAATAAACAGAGGAACGATGATTATTTACTCTCTAGCTACCTGAACAGCGAGTGCTTTACTGATGAGTATCTCCATGCATCTTACTTTTCCCCTGAATATCACATTAAAAACCAAATACCCAATTAATTGTAAAACATACTTGTTTTGGGGCATCTGCGGAGGTGGTGTGAACTTCAGTACCTCGGAGTCCATTAGACTCAAATACCACTGTGGGAACAAGGGGGCTTGTTAACAGATGAACATTTAAGCTTTGTTAGTGTGTGTACATTATTTGACTCCATTACAGATTAATCACACTGAGGGGAGGATGGGAAGAAGCAAAGACACCAACTCTTTGCCTATAGCTGGAAAATACCAATTTACCGTAACACTTACTGTAAGAGAGTGTGCTAATGGGAACCTAAGGGCACTGCCTTTTTTAATTCAGACTTCAGCACTGAAGAAAGCAATCACTGACAACATTAATTATCAGTGTGTACGTAAAGGGACCCTCTTTGTGAATTACTTACCATTTGGCTTCTGTCATTTTGCCGCAGAACGTCTTATACATGCATCACTCACCCTTCTTCAAAGAGGAAGGGAGGAAAAGAGAGATCTAGTCTCATTTCCTCATTATGAGGTTATGAAGATGTACTGACGTGCTGTTAGCTTTACCTTGCTATGTTCCCCACTTCCAAATAGGAAAGGGCTGATATCCAAAATTTATCCTGGACCATTCTAAGGATGGATGAGGAATAAGGTTTTTGAAAAAAACAAAAAACAAATTCCAGATTTATTTGAGCACCACAGCAAGGAGACAAAAAGCTTTCTGTTCATTTCAAAAGGGGAGGGTGGGGTTGGTTTCAATTTATGCCAGCGGCAACAGATTTCATTAGCATATTCATTCCAGAGTATTCTGCTTTCTAATTAAAATGATTTTTTTTTTTAAAGAAGGGGGGAAAAAAACACAAAACTCTGCAAATCATCTTATTTAATCAGCAATGCAAGGTTTTGCAAGAGAGGCGAGGAGACTTCAGGTACTTGAAATGGAACGTGAAATGCTAATCAAATCTGAAATGGTGTAAAATGGAGAAGCTTTAAAGAATCCAACAACATGAACAAAAAATAGACTGGTGACAAGGAAATTAATATGTACTTATTAATAGGGGCATCCCTTCATCCCACCAGAAGACACATAAGGAAATATACCTGTGTGAGACCTCATGTGGGTCCTGAGGTGGCTTGGCTGTGTGAAGCCCTTCCCACACTCTACGCACAGATAGTCTCCTTGGCGCGTTTGTGTCCTAAGCATCCCTGTGTTGGGAGAGAAAAGGGGAGGGGGGCATGGGAGGGAAAAGAGAGAAGGGGAAGTTGAGAAGAAAACAATATGCCAGAGGAAAACATCATTAGTATGTCTAATGTGTCATTATGTGAGATTACCTTCAGGCCCTGGATAACAACTGTCAACCTTCATCTAGGCACTGGCTGACAGGCCAGACACACACACAGGACTGCAAGAATGCATAAATTACATCGAATTAAAAAATGTTCCCTGTGATGTGCCCGCACCAGAAGTGGCATGTCAGGTGTGCGCTTTTCATAGCAGCTGGATCCACTTTTCGGCATCACCCCGCTTTGTCAAACAGTACATCTGGCAAATCAAAGTGACTCCAGCATGGTGGAGACAAGTCATATGGATAATAGAAAGTGAGTAGAACCAGAGGTTGACTGCCCCCCTAGCCTACAACCCCCCCGCACCCCTACCCCAGGCAGGCTTGGAGAGGAGTGCAAAATGAGTGAAGCCATCATAAATGGATCAGACCTTTAGCCCTACCTTTCCTGCCTACTGGTACATTTCTGACCCCAGATCTGGAACGCCCAGAGAGAAGACATCTGTGAAGCAAAGTGTCGTTCTGGACATTTTGAGATCACAAAAAGGCAGCAGTCCTTCGCCAGTCTTTTGTAGATGGATTTTCTAGGCCCTTAGCATCCATGGAAAATGACTCAAATCTCTTCTTTTCCCCCAAAGGTCAGCTTACAGTATCTGATTTAAAGGGCTGGTCTGTGTCTTTTTACTGTGATCAGAAAGGACACATTTGACTTTTATTGGGTTATTTATTTTTTCAAGATACTTCATATAATCTGTGCTAAAGGGATGGGAAAAGGTCTTATTTGTATTAATATTCCCTTCCTTAAAACACACACACACACCCCGGGGGGGGGGGGGGGGGGAGATGGTCGCAATGAGATTTCAAGGTTCTGAACTGTCCTTTAGAAAAAAAAATCCAGAAACATTTACAGTAAACAAGCATACACATGCAAACAGAGAGGCCACATTCAGACATTTATTTATTAACATTTGTTTGTTTGTTGGATTTATTGGATTTACCCACTCTGGGCAGCTTATAACTATCTATGTGTGTATGTGTATATGTGTGTGGTGTGTGTATTGTGGTTTGTTATTGTATCTGAAACTTCTATTCTGAATTAATGTATGTTTCAGAGATCTACTCCAGTTCCCCAATCCCAGTCAACTTCCAAAGGCGGGGCATGAGTAATGAGAAAATAAAATCATTCTTGTGGTAGGGTGCTAATCCTTGCCTTCACTTCTGTTGTTCATTTCCCATGATTATTTTCCTGCTGATAAGCCCTCCTCTTTCAGCCTGTTCAATTTCCTCCAGAATAATCAGATAGATGGATAGATGGGAGGCAACTCTAGATAACCTTTATCAAAGTACACATGTACAGAAGAAGTGAAATGATTTCATGCAAAGAATTTTGTGAGGTGCTGTTTTGTTTTTGTTTACAGGTGATGACTTCCCATGACTGAGATAAAGTAGCAATGAGTTTTTCTTTTACAGGAAAGAACAAACTAAGAATACTTTTAACCCCTTCCATTTTAAATGTTGACTAAGGTGGAATGCATTGCATGTTGCATCAGTACTTCAAATTACATCAATAGGTTTTTAGAGACGAGTTCTACTGCAGCAGACATCAAAATACAGCATGTGCAGTTACAAGAAACACTTTAGAGAAATGTCTGGAAGTGTCCCTGCTTTATTTCATCCAATCAAACTAGGTACATTTTCAGCTACGGCTGAAAAACTCAAATATATACATTTTACGTGTCTCTGGTTTTCTTCATTGTTGACCAAATGTATATAATTGTTGATAATTACAATAAATTCACATTTGCCATTTCAATCTATGGCCTTTTAGTTATCTTGATCAAATCACTGACTTAGTAACGATGGTCCTTAGCCTAGATCAGGGGTATCAAACTCGATTGCATTAAGGGCTGCATCAGGGTTGCATTTGACCTTGGGGGAGGGAGGGGAGGGGGGCATGGCCAGCTTGACGTCACTCGTGTCAGGGACACCTGTAATGTCCCAATGCTCTGCCAGTGAAAATCCCCGATCTCTGTTTTTGGCTGGGACAGCCTCCTGCAACCCTCTGCCAGTGGCTCAGGAGGACCACTCCATTTATGCTGGCAGAGGGTTGTAGGAGGCCATCCCAGCCAAAAACAGAGATCGGGAGCCTGTTTTCGCTGGCAGAGACACTGCGGGCCAGTCCTTCACTGTTTCCAGGGCAGCCCCGCAGGCCAGATCTAAGTACTCCACAGGCTGAGTTTGACATCCCTGGCCAAATAGATCATTCTCAACACAGTGGAGATTATTCCAGTTACACTGTATTTGGTTCCTAAGGCACACTAACATCTTTTTGTACTGCTTGTCTCCCCCGCAAAATTCCATGTAAATTATCATTAAGATGCAGAACATGTCATCATACAAACTGAGGGATTTTTTTTTGTATCAATGCAAAAGCTTTTGTATAGTTAGCATCTAATAGGCCAAATCTGTCCAAAAAATGGGTTTTGTGCAAGAACCAGTTATACTAATTTCTGTCATGTTGTGGGCAACAGTTTTGTCATAAACTTACTTCTTAAATTAACTGATGAAATGCAGTTGTACATGATAGGTATTTTAATGACTATTTTTTCCATGAAAAAGACAAGCTCTTCTAAAGGAAAGCAACAACATTAATGGATATTTACGGAGGAAATAGTCCCAAGGAAATATTTATTCATTAATTCTTTATGTTAAAGTAATTAAACAAATGCATGTAGAAAAATGTAAAGGAAGTTTAATATCAAGTTGATAACTACAATCCATACAGGAATCTCCTTGCGAATATGATCCAGAAATGCATTTAGAATATTCTACTGCTGACTCTAAAAATAAAAGTAGGAACATGTTTAAAAACATGATTTTCAACTCTGCTCTGGAAATCTCTCAGGTTCTTTGGAAGATTTGCAGTATCAGCAAGAAATTCAATGTCTAAAGAGCTGCCTCAATACAGCTCAAATGTCCTCAAATACAAGAGCCATCCAGTAGATGTTGGTCAGCAAAACTAGTTGTCTTCTATGACCTGAAAATGAGGGTATATACTCAGGGGAATGGGACAACTTGCCACAGCCAAGTCACTGCGACAAACTCGCTGCAGCCAGCTCATCACAGGCAAGTTGGCAGAGAACTGACCACGGCAAACTCAAAACACGTTGCAGGACAATTTAACAATTCTATTTATTTATTTAAAATAAATAAAAATTATTTTAATTTTTGCCATTCACATTTCATTCTGTCCTCCTTTGGCATCCTTTAATGATTCTATTCCACCATTTTGTTGATATTAATGTAACTCTTGTCCCACAGTGAGTTGTCCTGTAGCAAGTTGGCCGTGGTAAGTTTGACATGGTGAATTGTCATAGACCCTATACACAAGACTAGAACCACATCTAGAGCCACAGTGAGTAAACTGATGTGAAAGGGTCATCATAAGGCAGTTGCTCAGAAACCACCGCTGCACGGATATTTTATAAATACATGATACTGTGTATGATTAGCGCCAAACCATGAGATCACTATTAGGTATGAATTAATTCACATGAGGTAATTGGGGAGGGTAGACAATAGCCACTGAATATGTCCCATATTTGGCATTCTATTAGTTACTTTTCTTGACAAAATGGCTTTTATGACAGGATCAGAAAGGACTCCTGGCTAAAACCCCACATATATAAAGTTTGTCCTAGTTTGCAAAAGGAATACCTCCCATTATTCAATGGCATTTAATTCATGGTGGAAAAAATGCTAGTGTTGATACAATCAATCCTGTGTGTGTTAGAGAGAAAGAAACATTCAGTCATTCTGCCTATTGAAGTGAGCATATTCAGCCAGTTTATGTTTTTTTTTTAAAAAAAAACTTCATTGATGTTGCATTTGAACAGTCCAAAGCAGAGTGCATACTTAGATGATAAATTCTGATAATAGCCAAGATCAATGTTAAGATAATCAATATTAATGTTTTGAATATCTCTTTACGCAGAACTTGTTATACTGATCACAATGCCTCCATCAGTGAAGGGTGCAGGTGTCTATAAATATTATTCACTTTTATTTACAGAAATTTCAGATGTTCATCAGAGTAATTCCTGTGAAACTAGAAAGGATAATTGCCATGCTGCCTGTGTCACTTTTAATACAATGATAGCTGTAAATAACACTTATAGTAAATAAGAAAAATAACCCCTGAAGAATCTGAAATGCTGGGCTTGGTCTTGTGGGGGTGCTGTTTTCTTAACAACTTTCTTAAGAAAGCAAAAAGCTTATGAATGCCCAACACAATACAAATGCTAATAACCTGCACTGATATTCTGGTGGTACTTGTAACTATTTCTCCAAGGGATTGGAAAATTGCTGTGGTGCCAGAAAGAAACAAAATTGTGCATTTATCTTTTGAGAACAGAGAGACAATTTAAAATGTAAAAGCAAAAACTCAAAACTTGCCCAATTCTACTGAATGCTAAAGCATTCATAAGGGAATGCTCTACTGGGAACAATGAAGTTCTATTACAAAGGAGAAGTACACTGAATATTTTAAATTAAAAATGAGTAAGATCTTAAGTGTATGTTCACATGTATGTAGAAAGAAGAAAAGAGGGAGAAAGAGGGAGGAGGAGGAGAGTGTTGAACAAGACAATCTGCAAATAAAAAGATAAACTAACTCTTAAGACCGAAAAGTCTGACCAATTTGAGTGAAGGTTAAATGAGAACATAATTAGTGATGTTTTCCAGGTATTAAATGAAATTTTTGATAAAGCAAAATAGTGACTTCTGTTGTACAAGCAGATCTGAACTGGCCATGGATTCAATGCAGATCAGAAAAGGAAATGAAAAGTGAAGTAACACAAAGACAATTTTTTGAATTCCTAGGTTTATTACTAGGATTGACAAAGCCAATGTGTTCTCAGAAGGCAATGCCCAATGAGTGTGCTTTGAGAATTTGACAACACCATACAATTGTGCTGTAGAAAATATTCAATTGTTTGTGATTAAGCTCTTTTAAAACAGAAGATGAAGTTACTATGCTACTTTAGTTTAACAATTATGCTCTTACCCTAGTCTATACATGTATGAATCAACATATTTTCCTTACTTTGTATCCTTGTAAATTCTTGCTTTTTTATTGTTATAGCATCCACAATTTTTTTTCTAGATCAATGGCATGTGTTTATTTCTGCATGGTACTTGGGACAGCATGACTAATTTAGAAACAAAACCTGAGTCTTTGGCTTAAATTGCTTACCTGGTTTCTCAGCAAACTTTTTTCATGCTAAGAAATTACAGGTAGTCCTTGACTTACGACCACAATTGAGCCCAAAAGTTCTGTTGCTAAGCAAGACAATTGTTAAATGAATGTTGTCCCAATTTATGACTTTTCTTGCTACAGTTGTTAAGTGAATCACTGCAGTTGTTAAATTAGTAACATGGTTGTTAAGTCAATCTGGCTTTTCCATTGATTTTGCTTGTCAGAAGGTCGACAAAGTAACTTTGCCGAACTAAATGAACTGTTCTAAGTCAAGGTTACCGATATAGTGTGTTCTATTAATGAGAGCTGTCCTAAGTTGCATAACGGCATTACTATTGGCATCTGAGAGTTTCTTATGGCTGCAGCATAAGAAAAAAGTCAAAAGTCAGCCTACGGATTATGGCTAAAATAATCTGGGAAGACTTGAAGTCAAGGCATTCTAATGTTTTCATGTGGGAATTGGCTAACATGTGATTGCTTCCTACTTATCAAAATTAATATCGGGAGGTGGGGGGAATCATCTTCTGAAAAATGTTCCTGATCCTAGCCATTAACTGTTCCAGAAATGGAGTAATGTTGACATGGGAAGAACCAAAGAACAGATTCATCCCAATGCAAGTGGATTTTACTTCACCACTTAAAAAAAGGCACAGCCAAATAGTAGTCACCAATAAGTAAATCTGTCACAATGGTTTCTCTCTCTTATTATTTTTCAATCTGATTTTCTCTTTTTCTTTCATCTTATCCCTGTCTTGACTCAATTTATTCTTATTTTCTTGTATTTTCTTTGGTTGTTTTCCAAATAAGCACGTTTTTGTTTCCAAGTTTGCTTAATGTTCAGATTCTGCACATATTTTTTGGTCTATTAGGATGCATTTTCATTTTCCTAAATCTTTGTATATGGCCTTTACACATGCCGTAAAGGCTGTTTTTTGTACTGGAAAGAGCCAAAAACATTGCATTTTGAAAAAGAACTAAGTTTTAGTTCATATATGGGTTCAAAAATTAATTTTTTAAAAATGAATTTTTTGTTTGTTTAGTAGTAGCCTCATTATAAGAACGAGCCCTTTTAACTTTTTCAATAAGCAAAATAATGGATATACGTTTTCACTGCAACTTCTTAGAACACTTATGCAGGTCCCACTAAGTAAAACAGACCAAGAATCTACAAGAAGACTAGCTATAAGAACAGAATCTTCCAAGTCTGATTATGCTGTTTCTCCTCTAGTTTATGGTTCAGTGAATTAGGGACTTGTATGCCCAAGCTGTTTTGAATATTACCTTGTTTCTCAGGTCTTAAAACTATTTCAAGCCTTTTTGCTTAGGTAACAATTCTATTGAGTTCAACTTCCTTACCCTTAGCAACCTATTAGATATTGCCCTACAGGCAGCTCTTTACAAGATAATTGCTAACAGTTTTACAGTATCTTTTACAAATCAAATGTTTATGCCATATTTTAAGGATATTTTCTCACCAACAGCTGTCATGGATAAAACTCATCAAAATATCTTTGTTTTACATCTTGGCAAATGTGCTGTAACATCCTTTTGCTCAGTGGACATTGTATACAACTGCCTATATAAATCTTTAAGATGTGTGCACATTTGCAAGGAATTTTCCCAAAACGGGTCTTATTCTTTCTAACTGGTTAGTAAGGAAATCTTTATTAATTTAGCTCATAGGGAAAGGAGCTAGGAGAATAAGCAACAAAAATATTTACACTGGGCAAACAAGAAAAAAGTAAATTTTAATAAATCACTTAGGGAAGACAAGTCATTGGTGTCAAATGCTGCATTCTTTTATCCTATCTTGTGGATAAATCAATTCATCTTAAATTCTGAGAATGCTATATTTAGTTTTGTATTTGAACAAGATTTCCAGCTAAGCCTAAATTCAAAATCTTCTCCAGAATTAGGATCTCCTTTGCTTGCTCTTGTGGGAGCTCATTATTTATTGCTAATCCTAGGTTTTGGCTATAAAAATTCTGGTAACCTGACTGTGGAAATAGAGCTCTGCATATGCTCAGGAGCACTCTTTCATTATTGCTATCATAAAGCATAAAGGCTCAGCATGTTTAATAAGTACTGTATACATTAATAAATTCCCATTTTAAGTATTAAAATGATAGTTGCCATTATGACTGAAAATACTGCTATATAATTTTTTTTGCTTGCCATAAAAGATCTACTTTTCAATTCACAACCATTTGAAATAAAGAATAATGTTACACGGTTGGTAGGACTGAGATATGCAGAGTCAAATATCCTTCAAGTCAATCTGAATTATCCAGTTCCCAAGATTTCTGCTCAAATCCATTGCACAGAAAGGGAACTTTGCAAATTAAGACGTTAATATTCTGATTCTAGCAGCTAAACCCGACTCTGAAAATCCAACAAGCTTCAAACCTAGCCAACAACATTTTGTCCTAATACTGAATTGTTCTTTTTATGATTTCTTTTCCCTTCCCTTCAATGTTTTATCATCAGTTTTATCTCCAAAAGCAGAGATCTGACAGTGAATTATGAAAATCTCTTGCACTTGAAATGTTCAATAAAGTCATAATTTTCTTGAAATAATCATTTCTCACACAAAGTAAATTCCTGCCCCCTATTTTAAATTGGATACAAATCTGATACTGTATCTTCTGCTTGGACATTTCATGTAGAGGGAATTCTCTCAAGCCACTTCAAACATTTCCCCCACCCCACCCTTTTTTTAAGGGACTGAATCCAGCACTTAATTGCAGATAGAATTCTAGCAGTGAGACCTTACATATCTTCCTTCAGAAGGAAATGTCATTAAATTCAACAGCAGTGTTATTCCCAGGTAAGCCACCTAAATGATCTGATGCAGGACAGGACAGTTAAATAGGAGAGATAACCTTGTCAAATACAGACAGTAACAACACAAGTGTTTTGTGGAATTCCTTATGTTAAGGGGGAAAATAAAATTAAGAATTTAAAAATATGCTGGAAAGACAGTTCTTAGGATTCTTACCAGCACGGTCCATTACGGGGCTATTGGCACCCCAGGTTTGGTAGAAAGTAGCCAGATCCTTTGGAATGGAGGTCTTTAAGATGTTTACAATATCCAAACATTTCTCATGCCCCTCAGGGGATGGCTCCTGTTTGGTGGAATGTACAGGTGGAGGAGGTCCTGCTGCAACAGGCTGAGGTTGCATCAAAGGACTTGCTCTGGATCCTCCAGTACAATTGATCAATGCTCTCATTTCACTTTCCCTCTTGGCGGTACGTTCTTGCTGAGGCATTGATGGAGGTTCTTGAGTAACGCATGGCTCAGTTTTACACAGAGGGTGGTACTGAGATGGAGATAAAAATTTGGCCTTCCCTGTATCTGGAGTACAATGCTTGATTAAAGGAGCAGATCCAGCATTTACTTGAGGGACTATGTATTTTTCTGTTTCTCTGCTACTGGAGGGATGTCCGCTAGGTTTAGATATCACTGTATGGGAAGGCGTTGAATTTCTGCTAAAGTTTCCTGTTTGCATCAATTTGGAGTTCACATCCAATTTTGATTTTAGCTGGGGCTGCTGGGCTACAGTACCATATTGTTCGTGAGTGTGGTTAAGTTTGGGTGGTCTATATCCATCAATAGCTGATGGTTGCGGACCACAGCCCCCAGTGGATGGTACATCTTTTGCCATAGCCCCGGGCTTAGGAGATACAGCAATATCAGAATAATTATTATTTTTGGATCCTGACAACCCACTCGGCACCTGAGTACGTGTAAATCTGGCTATAGGCAAAGGTTGGCATTCTTTCCCACCAAGTACAGGAGGTGGTCCAGTGCGCCCACTTCTTGCCATAAAAACAGAATTATGTTTTATACTCTTGAATCCATTTTGAAGAACCCAAGCAGGAGCCATAGAATTACAACTAACTTTGTGCCAAATTCTTTTGTGCATCCACAGGACTTCTGGATAGTAAGTTTTATGACTGCAGTAAGGACATCGGTGGACAATCAGAGCAGCCTGCAAGGTTGAGGTAAAACTTGAATCAGCCCTAGTTGATTTCTCACTAAGATCTAATGCAGTCTTTTCAGACATCTCTGTATCTTTATTGAGCACAGAATGTTCATTCATCTCTACAAGGATCTCTTTAGCGAGCTTCTGTTGAATTTCCAAGGGGCTTTGCAAATTCAGTCTCACATCAGCAGTCTTGCTGGAACAAGGTAAATCACAACTTTGCTGAAATGCTGACATCTTTGAATCAGGGTAAATTTTGCAATCCACGTATTTTGGAAATGGTTCTTTGATCTTGTCGTGGGGTACAGATGCCACCTTTAGCACTTCAGGTTTAGATTCCACAGCATTTTTTTCTCTATTGTTTCTTTCCTGATTGAGCTGTAGGGCTGTCCCAGATGCATCTTCAGCAGAAAAATTGCAGAGATATGGTTTTTTACCTGTAGAGTACACATACAAAAATTAATATGAAGATCCTGTATGTTTACAAAGACACTTCTCAAGGAAAATTAAAAAACAAGGACAAAATAATGATCTGGATAAGGAAAAAAAAAGCCTGGGAGCCCAGCATTCAAGGCACAGGTATTATAACTCGCATGTACATGAAATCTTATATTATAAACAGTATTGCTTTATTATCACTGCATACACTAAAAGAAATTACATACATTAAAAGAAAGGAATTAATTTTCACAGGATACTGTGATCATGATACTGAAAACAGGAACCGAAAAGAGTTTATGACAATGCTGTAAGATTGCACTGACTTACTCAATCAGGAAGTCTATATTTTATGCCCACAGTGTTATCAAAATAACTTTCCCCTATAGTTTAAAGAGATAGACTAATTAACAATCAGGAAAAGCAACTTTCAGATATTAAAGGCCAGCTATGTTTAAGATAATTTGGAGTACAAGAGGGATAAGGAAAGGGGCACATTCCTGCTCAAAGTTATTATAGCTATTTTCACAGTCACGGCTATACAATTTTCATTCACATTCTATTCCTATTCCAGATATTCCGGCAAAGTGTACTGATAAAGTTAAAGTTCAAACCTACATGACCACATATACAAGACAATTCAATCAAGAGGGTAAAGCTGGGAAATCAGCCAAAGACACACTCACAAATCAACCCTAAACTTGCAGTAGAACTTCTGATTCTTGCACCATTGTTCTTGTTTCAAAACAAAAGAACAAACCCGGCACAGACATCAGGTGCCGTTACAGAAATCACGCTATTTTTCTCAACTGGCTACTATGTGACAACTCTACTTTGCTACAAAACTGAGACATGCTTTGATGTTACTTTTGGGGACAGTCCTGCAAATGAACTGTACAGAATTTCAAAGAATGAAATAAAAATTGTGCAAAACTGATAAAAGAATAGGGGGGAAAAGCTATCTTCAACGTACTCTTAATACACAATACGTAAGGATCACTCTGCATTTTCCTTTACAAGCTCTTCATTTCAAAATGAATCAGTATGGTGTAGTATTTAAGATTTCAAACTAGTAATGAGAAGAGCTGGGTTCGGACCCACCTTCAGCCTTCCAAATTCCCTAGATGAGTTAACTAATAGCAATTAATAATAAACATCCTTCAATTACAATTTTCTAACTTCTTTTCAGAAATAAATTCAAATTATTTACTTTTAGCAGGATCAGAATTAGTCATTTCATTTAAATATTAAACAAGTTCATATACAGGTAGTCCTCAACTTACAATAGTTCATTTAGTGACTGTTCAAAGTTACAACGGTATTGAAAAAAGTGACCATTTTTCACACTTACAATCGGTTCAGCACCCCCATAGTCACATGATCCAAATTCAGATGTTTGGCAACTTGGCAAATGTCTCCTATTTATGACACTTGCAGTGTCCTGGGGTCATGTGATCGCCTATTTCAACCTTCTTATAAGCAAAATCAATGGGGAAGCCACATTCACCTAACAACTTACCATCTTAATAACTGCAGTGATTCAGTTAACAACTGTGGCAAGAAAAGTCATAAAATGGAGCAAACAAATGTTCTACCATACTTACCAAGAGAAATGTGGTGCTCAATTATGGTCATAAGTGGAGGACTATCTGTATTATGTTTACAAATGCTCTAGTACTCATTTATCAAATATGGCTTAATATTTCTTCTGACTTTGACTCTTGTGAAACGCTCAAGCATATTCTAAACACTGGTTATCTACATCTGTATCTATAACTAAATGTAAGCATACATCTCCTCTATATCTACAGAGGGGGGGAGAGAGGGAGGGAGGCAGAGAGAGAGAGAAGTATTTCTTATAAGAAGGAATATCGAATACAGAATGCTTTAGAACACTTCATCAAACATCTGACATTACAAAACATCTGTCTTCCTTTTGGTCTCTCCCAGAACATACAATGTGTTTGCTCATGCTAACTCTTTATAGTGGGATTAATATGCATGGTTTTCTTTAAGTTTCATTGCTCATTTGCTGATAAATCCAGGATTACTACTAAATAATTGTCTTCCATCTATACAGAAGTGCTAAGAACTCCTGAAGACTGGTGGAAACAGAGCATAAGTAGTCTTTTTTGCATCTGCATTTTATCTCAGCCACAAGCAAGTGTTTTGGAAAATCAAACACATCACTGTTGCTTAGTACAACTTTGGTACCATAGGCACAGTTCCAACCCTGCCAAATGTGATGTGTTTAAGCCTGAATGTTCAACAAAAACAACGTCTCAGCTTCATTTAATTTGACCTCAGCTCCTGTTCAGGGAAAAGGCATTAAGCCTTTGTTTAATTCTGAGTAATTAGCTTAAAAATAACCCATAGATTTGCTGTCTAACAGGGCTGAATACTTTATTCTGTTAACATCATTTTCTTTTCAAACTCTCAAAGGGACAAGGTCCTTTGTGTTTAAAGTTTTTTTTAAACCTTCCTGTTTTACAAGTTAAGATTTCCTGAAAGCACATGCCCAAGATTACTAGCTGTATCTACATTTTAAAAGGGGGGGAAAGGTATGTAGAACTGTGAAATCAGAGACTGCACATCTGTGTTATTTTCAAAGCAGATCTGTGTCACAACTCAATATAACACCAGCTAGAAAAATGAGGTGGCTTTTCTGTGACATTTCATGTGATGGAGCTTGTTTACATAGAGGCTAAGCAAAGATAAAATTAATCTTATCAGAAGAGGCAGATTAAGCTTAAAAATCATGACCTGTCCAAAAAACTTTGGGTAGGCTTCCTGAGTGAAGAAATATTTCTATGGAGGGGTTTACATTCCCAGAATTATTCCAGATAGTTTCTAGCTACCAATAAAAATGCATTGTTCTGCTATTCTTTTTGTTTTTCTACCATAAAAAATGACTTAGATTATTAAGAGGTTAGTTATTTTTTTATCCCACCTTTATTGTTTTTATAAACAACTCAAAGCAGCAAACATACGTAATGTTTATTCCTTTTCCTATTTTCTCTACTACAATAATCCTATGAGGTGAATTGGACTGAAAATGAGGGACTGGCCCAAAGTCACCCAGCTGGCTTTCCTGCCTATGATGGAATTAGAACACACATTCTCCTGTTTTCTAGCCTGGTGTCTTTACCACTAAATTAAATATGGGCTCCAAACAACTGATCAGATTGCTAGGACTTTTCCTAAAATTTCATGCGTCAAACAGGTAACTTACTAAATGAACAGCAAATGGGAGTCTATGTTTATTCGACATGAGCTAGCAGTTCTGCACCAATATCTTGAATATTATCATTGAATATTACCTATATAGTATATTATTATACTATAATATCATTGAATATTATCTAGTATCCCAGAGGTGTATGTGTGTGCACCACTAAGGATATCCAAGGTATTCAGGCATGAACACTTTAGTGCATTGTACCACATCCTCCCAAAAAATGCATGTCTGAACCAAAACACATTTATTTTGGAAGTTTGGGGTCATATACCTCCTTACTAACAGTTATAATTTAATTGAACAATTTTAATAGATATATTCCCCCTGTGTTAGAAAAGCCGGTGGTGCCTTCTGAGCTACCTACTGGCAGGAAGACATAGAAATAATAATTCCCAGGTGCGACAAGGAATAATAATAATAATTGGAAAAATAATAATTGGAAAAATGTGGAAATATAGAGTATTGAATTGGAGAATGCAACTATAGAAAGCTAAAAATGATCCTGTAAAACAAGATACTTTATTCAATAAAGTGCTTGAATGAAAATTTGACTATTTAACTTCAAAACTATGCGAAGTTCAGTGTTCCTACGTTTTATTTTTTTTATTTCTCCTGATTATTTGCCAGCCCCCAAACAAGCATTTGTTGTTGTTTAGTGCTGGTTTGAATAGTTCTGCTGCTTCTACTGTGTAATATTGCAGGAAATTTAATAAATCCAAAATTTCTGGCTAATACCTGAGTGTCTTCAGTAAGGAAGGTTTTTTTTTAGTTCTTGCTATTTGTTTCTTTTTATTTAAGTGAAATATATTTTATTTCAGATTTTTAGCTTTTCTCATTTTCTTAAAAGTCAAATGAATGTAAAGAGAAATCACGCTATTATATAATTTTAAACTGAATATTGGGAATGAAAGAGAAAGGGCAGATTTGATTTAAATCAAGTCGATTTAAATCATTAATAAAAAGGCTTGATTTAAATCAATTCGATTTAAATCATAATTTTTAAAGAGCAGCTCTCTGTCCTGCTGTTGACTCACCAAAAGTCTCAATATTGCAGAATATACAACCTCATGCTATATAACTATGCTCCATTTCATGCTGAATAAACAAAATTATTACTGTATCTTAAATAGAAAACTATCTTTAGATGTATTTACATTTGGATGTTTGACAACTGAATCACATTTATGACACTTGCAGTGTCCTGGGGTCATGTGATCACCTTCTGCAACCTTCTGACAAGCAAAGTCAATGGGGAAGCCAGATTCACTTAACAATCGTGTTACTCATTTAACAACTGCAGTGATTCACCTAACAAATGTGGCAAGAAAAGTCCTAAAATGGGGCAAGACTCACTTAGATTTTTTTTTACTAAGCAACATCAATTTTGGGCTCAATTGTGGTTGTAAATTGAGAACTAACTGTAAAAGGGAGATTAAGAGGAAGGGTGAATTTCAGAGATGTAAATGAACTAAATGATTAAATAAAGTGTACATTAATTGTATAAGAAGGGTATATCAGGTTTCGTCATGCTGAAAATGGTGCTTTTAATACTACAATCCTGTATGTTTACTCAGGAACAAATCCCACTAAACTCACTGGGACTTATTCCCAAATAAATAAAGCAACAGCTCCGGAGTGGACTAGCAGACTCTTGTACTGGGAATAAATGCATTGAATTGGGGTCTTATTTTCAACCAGGGGTAATATTCTCCTCCCTTCCCTGTTAATAAGACCTGAAAAAAAGGGAGATGAATTATATCC